TGTGTGACTTTTTACTTGCAGTTTGTGAGTGAACCTCTTGGTTTGTGAAGGGAAGGAGCAAGTTTAAGCACTACTTTTCAGGATGCTCTGATACCCTCTATGAACAACTAAATCCATTACAAGCACCTTATAATCACTGAGATAGATAAAGGCCTTAAGTCAGGTGAGAACATTTTAATGCCTCACGTGACACACACCTGGCAGCCCTGCTGAGCATTCACACATCTATCTGAGCTGAAAGGAGGTCCATGTTTTAAGGGTCTAGGAGGATGAGGCCAGGTATGCAGCACCTTAGAATGCTGTGATGCTCTGAACCAAGGAGCACAGGCAGAACAGTACACTGAATAAATACAGTGTTTTCTCAAAAGGACTGGTTTCAGCTTTTGGAGAAAGCCTGTCTATTGGGGTCTTTATATGGCAATTCAGAGGCATGTCTTAAACAACAGTGAGATAAAATAAGCTCATGAAGACTACAACACAAAAATCACCCCTCAACAACAAAAACAGGCTCTTCCTCAACTGCTGGGTTACTGGAAAAGACCAGTCTGTTGAGAATTCAAAACTGAATGGCAGCTTGGAAACACTCCGTGCAGAAAAGACAAGAATTGCTGTAGAAACGTGAAGCTGATGTCTGCTTAGGATCAGGATGTTTAGTAGCAGGATGGGGATTAGGGGGGAGGGAAATTTGTGTGGGCTTTGCTCATGAAGCTCCTAACCTTGCCCTTAATTCAGGATTCATGCTGTAATCAAGTTTGTTCTTTCAGACGCTTCTGTCAGCAGTGCCAGCATTCACAGCCTGTGATTTAAAGGTATTGATCAACACAGGTCTCATTAGGTGAGACTCTTCCTCACAGAACTTGATATAAGCCCTGTAGTGGCTATTTTTGTCTCCTTTAGTCACTGCTACATACAACAGGCTGTATATGGCTTCATGGGGGAGAAAAACTCCAAAACATTGAACAGTCATGATCAGTAACCTGCAAATATTTTGGGCCAGACTGCTGTAAGCCATTGTCTTCCTTAAAGGCATTTTTCTACTGAAAAAACTAAAAATACAGGTTTATCAGAACTGAAGCTCTGGTAGCAAAATGGTTCTTTGAATTACCCACAGACAGGTATGAGCTTTCCAATGAAAGGTACACAGGCAGTGATGTGTAAGCCACTCAAGTAAAGGGTTTTCTATGAAACAGATTTCCAACCTTTGGCAGAAGTTTAATGTTGTGGAAGGGGCTAAGAATAAGAACTTTAGACCATGAGAACTGCATTTGTTTAATCTTGAGGAAAGAAGATTTTAGGGGACACCTTATAACCATCTTTCAGTATGAAAAGGGTGGCTAAAAATAAAATGGAGACTCCCTTTTTACAAGTCACATGGAAAAAATGAGAGGTGATGAGTACAAATTACTACTGGAGAGACTCCAGTTTGACACGAGCAATATTATTCACAATCAGAACCCTCATCCATTTGAATAATTTCTCCAGTGCAGTGGTGGATTCCCTAGTATTGGACACCTATAAGATTCAGCTGAATATGGCCATCTTATCTAGAGATGCTTTTGCCAAGAGAGGTTGGACTAGAAGATCCTTGAAGTCCCCTTCTAACCTGGTATCATATGATTCTATGAATCCTAACTCTAGATGCTCTAAAAGGATTTTGGTCCATTGAATTTTCTAGTTCAGCATCCATAAAATGCTTATTCGTAAGATCTATTTCCCTCACTGTCTCTTTTTTTTTTTTTTTTTTTTTTTTTTTACTTTGCAGTTACACATTTTGTTAGGTATGATTTTACTAGTACTATGGCTTTTGAGGTCAAAATAATAGCCCCCCCCCCAAAAAAAAACCCAAAAACCAAACAACACAAAACCCAAACAAACGAAAGAAAAAGCCTTAATTCTCATAAAAAAACCCCTCCCAACAAAACAAAAAAACACACCAACAAAAAATCCAACAAACAAGAAATGGCATAAAGGCTGTATGCAGTGCATTGTGGTGCACTTTTCCATTTAAATGGGAACCAGCTGCATTTTCCAAAAACTAGCTCCATAGCACAAGGCAGCCTCCATTTCTCTATAAAGGCTCAAATACTCAGCTGAACCATAGGTTTGAATGGCTAAACAATCCTAAGTAATTCATTACAGTTGTTGCAATTCCTAACAGCAAAGCATGAAACTTACATGAAGATTCATGCTCTTTTGTTACAAGCCAAGAAATGTAGCCCATCTTTTCTGTATTAACTTATGCCCAATCTGGTGAAATACCTTTTATGTAAAATACAGCTTTGTTATGCGAAGGGTAAGAGCTTGCTCTTCATTGTTTTAAAATATCAGTAAAGGTAATGGCTAGTAAGAAGATATTAACTAGCATTGCCAGGACTTATCTATGCATATGCTGGGCTAGGAGAATATGATGGCATTTAAAAACACAATATGGATGTGAAAACACAATATGGATGTGAAGAATCAGATTGCAGGTGGGGTGGTAGCATCCAGAAAGGGTAGTCTGTCTTCAGAACAGGACCAGAAATGAAGAAAAAGGCATATGGAGATGGGGAGGAAGCAGCAATTGCCTTAGATAATTCAAGAGTTCAGTTAGGGAAACCAGATTATTATGAAAAAAAAAAGACTGTGGTGGACTCTTCCAGCTGCTCTACCAAAAAGCTCCCAGTGGGATAACTTGACTCAAGGACTTGACATAGGGCCACTGATTTGAATGCAGGGCTTGGCTCCCCATTGCAATGGGTCACTCCTATTCCCAAGTTAGCTGAAGTTTGCATTTTGTTATGTTCAGCATTCTGTCAATTTGACTGATATGTTTACAACATCTACAACAGCTGCTTGCAGCTAACAAAGCCTTTGGAAGGGAAAGCATACAGTTAGAACAGCAAGAAGAAAATGTCTAGATAACAGTGTCATGACAGCATTTATAACTTAGCATTTCTAACAGGAGGATGTTCCAGCATTTTAATAAGGTTTCTTCCACACCTATTTGCTATGATTCTTCAATGTTTCAGTAAAATGTGCAGTCTGCCTAACAAATATTCAAGCTATCTACATGCTCTACAGTTAAGTTGTCTTTAAACTCTTCCTTATTATTAAAACAAACAGCTGTCCCCCCTCCAAGGCACTTTTACTCAAATCTTTAGGGTAATGTAAGCTACTAAACAGAAGTAGCGTTTGTTGAATTACATATCTTTTCAGCAATTTCTGGTGAAATAGCTCAACTGTTTGCATGTGATTACCTTTTAAAATCATGCAGTCATGACTCATCAAGAAAATATGTGTTGCAGCATCCAGAACAGAAAAGCTTGAGCTTATTATTGTTTCTTCTTGGGCAGTGGCAAACACTGTACTGAGAGGAAAGGATTTGCCTTTTTTTGATAGCAAGATCAACCACAACCATGTATTTCTAAATACTAAATATTGGTTCCTATTTCTTTTAATAAAATTAATTACCTCTCACAAAAAATAAAACTGCTATAGGATAATTTGCTTCTGTGAACATCTCACATTTCATGTGCAAGCCTGGAGTTTCCAATAATACAACCAATGACATCACATTTTTCAGTATTTGCAAAGATAAATACCACTGGGCTAGCCTGAAGACCTGTGAACATGAGACATCTAAAATATATTTTCAATTCTGGTCACAGAAAAAAAAAAAAAGGCAATTTATTAAATACTGATTAATGTATTGTGGCACAAAGACATTCACATTCCTGGTTTATCTGGTCAGCTTTTTGATTTGTTAATAACCAATTGCCTTTCCCATCCTTTTATTTTTTTGTCCTGTGGCAGGCATTTAAAACCTACTTTACATTTGAATTAATTTTCTCAGCCATCAGACATTCTGCCTTTTAATTACAATCTAGAAGCTGCGAAAAAAAAAGTGAACAATTTGGCTAACAGCATTTCAGTATAACTTAAAAGCAGTTCAATTTATTATACCTCAAAAAATAGATTCACATTTTATATTGTATATAATTTCACTTTGGTTTCTCCTCTTCTCAGCCTTACATTTTTCAAGGTTTCCATCATTTTTGCATTCTGTTCCCATGTGTACACTGACTACTTTAGAGACTAAGGACTGCCTGGCTCTGTTGCTACGCAACCGCATAGCCTACTTAGGGCTTCCTGAAATAATTGTCTCAAATGTGCTTTTTTTAGACTTGTTTCCAGCAGGAATACTTTACAGATTCTTTATAATGGACCACTGATATTACCACAATGTTAGATAGTGGTCACCTGAGAAGTATTGGTAGCTACTTAAGATTAAAAAAAAACAATGTTACTCCCTGCAAAATTCTGGACATACCAGCTGCATTTTCGCATGGAGGTAAATATCACAAGTATTTCTATATTTTTTCCATATGTTATTCCTGTGTATGAGAACCACACATTTACCAGAGGAAAAAAAATTAACTGTTCTTTGTTTCACTATTTCATTCAAGGGAAAAGTCCTTTATTTAGAGTATGTCACCCACCACTCAGAAAAATTAACCCTCTTTATATAAAGTCTATTAAAAATTTAATCATCTCAACAAGAATGAACACATATGCAAATATTCTTTATTGTAATTCATTATCAAATAAGTTGATGTTAGAATTCTTCAGGACAAGGTTCCAAATTTTAAAAATCACACTATGGATGCCAAAAGCTGGATCTGTATTTGCTTTTTGAGGTATCTTCAAGCAGCCCCTGAGAAACTGTCCCATGAAACCTTCAATTTTTCTAGCTTTCAACAGAATTTTTCTTGTTACAACCTTCTAGTGCTCCTGCTTCAAGATTGGAAAAATATGTTCTGTTTTTTTACAGCTGGCATAATTGGGAATCTTAAGTTAATTTATCTCTGTAAAAATACATAGAGCAATAAAAATACAAGTCTCTTAAAAAAGCATTGCTTAATTCCAGAAAGCCAAACATCTTACAATACACCAGGCTGAGGGATCAAAGCACAGAGGTCTAACAGTACAGAATATTTTAATGAAAGGAAATATTTTACCTCTTATTCTTTTTTCTCTCTTGTTCACCTTAGCATGTTCAGCAGCAGTTGCATCTACAGAGAGCAGCGTGTCAGTTCAGAATTGTGATAAAGAGAAAGATGTTTGTCAGGGTCAGAGAAAATAAGAGCAAGGTTTAAATTAAGGTCCTTGCAGAGGCAAGTCCACCTGCAGTCTTTTAAAGGAACCAGGGGAAGAGAGCAGCAATTTCAAAGTGTTTGCAAGATCCTAAGTCTTTAAGATGACTTTTTCTTAAACAGAGTGGACGGTGCTAGGCTTCTCAAAACCAAATGCAGGAGGTGGCATAAAGGGGTAATTTTCCATATTCATATGCATAACCACATACATGCATAATAGCCAAGCTATCCAAGAATATGAGTCAGCAAGGTTTACTGAGTGGGACTCTCCCAGACTTCAAGTCTCTATTCTTTAAAACCACGTAAGTAGTACAGCTCAGATTCAAATCTGTAACAATACTGTTTTAAAAGCAAAGATATCAAGACCTGAAGAGCAGCAACACTTGGAAAGATCTCCTTTGTGGCAAATAACCAATTTGAAACTTAAAAAATGACCCAGAATCAGGTGGAAGGGAAGAAAGCATTAATAAAGTACTCTATAATTGTGAAATCTGTTGTTATTATGTGCAGTTTGTATTTTATGCTTTGTATGTTATAGTATTTATGGGCATTTCAATGACAGGCAAAATAATTTCTAACCTAGCCAAAAGAAATCCCTTATATATATCACAAAATGCTTGAATATAGGAACCTTAGCAACCTCTTTTGCATATCCATGTTTAATTAAATTCTTTTTTAAACAAAGAGGAAAAAAGCAAAACAAACTACAAGTCTCTTGTTAAATAATCCTTTGTCACCTATGATCATTTTGTTCACTTGGTATTGAAAATTATGCACTATAGGGTACTTTTCTGGTAAGTTTCCATGTGCTGGAACTATAAAGAAACTAAAAAAAAACAACTGGCTTGCATAGATTAATATTTAAGTAGCAATTGTGCTGCATTACACAATCTGTCCATGATACTCAAATTTAAGATGCATTTCTAGATGCAAACCCAGATACCCTGACAAACACAATACCCAGCCACAGTCGAGGAACATACAAGTTCTGCAAAACACAGCTACTAAAAATCGCTGTTATAGCTTTGAACATGATAGTCAAATATTTCTCTTTGCCCCAGTTTCAAGTGAAATGAAAGCTCAAATACTTATATTTGTCTAACGTCCCAATTTTTCATCTACAAAAAGAAAATGCCAATTAGGGCAATTTACAAGCCAGTGATGGAAGCATATAAACAAGTAGAATTTTCTGGACTCTCACACAGCTCATTGATTTCAGCCAACCCTAACAAATTGCTCAATCACTTTAAAAGATGGCCTATTAAAAACCACATACAGTAGACATTTTATATTCATGCCAAGAAAAGTTATCCAACAAACACATATTTCCTGTGGCTCAAGTTCTTAATTCTACCTTGCAACTCTCCTTTTCACAGAAACTGCTGGCCACTAAAAAATGTTAGAAAAGCCTAAGAAGACTCTGAACATACAGTTCCTGCCATATGCATAAATTCAATAAAATACAATAAAAAGTAAGCCATAGTTTCTTGTTATGAACATAAACACACTTGTATAAGCAGAAACAGGAGAACTTATAGAAACCCTTCCTGAGAGGAATTAATGTTGTCAGACTACACAAATCCATCTGTATCTGAATAGCTTACTTGAGTTTCAGGGCTATACAAATTGCAGATTTCCTCCTTTTTACTACCTGCTCGTGGATAATGAAAGGAAGTACCAGCTGTCTGCTTACAGTAAGAATGCATATGTGGGCAGAATACTTCTTAAGACTTCCAATTCTTAAATCCTGGCACAGGGAAAAACCTTTCAAGAGCAAGAAGCACCCACAGATGTGAATTCCTGGATACCATATTCCCCATAAAAGCCAAGTTGCAGGTATAAATCCAGAGGAAGAATGAAAAAATATAAAAAAAGTTTCTCAAAACCTGAGGCCATCTCATAGTCACTAAGGAAGTATTATTTGAGTAAAACCTTTAGCAATAAAGAGAATAAAATAATTACGTAACTGGGAGACAGTGAAAAGACATATGGGCAGAGCACAGTAAAAAGGTGCATGAAAACAAATCCAAATGGACTCTCAGATTGAGAAGGAAGAAAATCAACTTGAAGTGTCTCCTGACAGAGACGAGACTTATTTGATTTTTATTTATTTTATAGTTGTCATTCCTCCTGGCAAAAATCTTGGGATGCTGACAGCGATCTGTAAGCCTCTATCCCATCCCAAGTACAACTCTCCACCTTTATACCTAGAAAAACATGAAGGACCATAACACCAGAGAAAACTGGTAGAAACCAGTAATGTTCCTATGCAACAGTTTGACTGTTCAGGGTTAGAAAACTTAGAATATGACTTTATCTACCCATAAATATATGTATGTATACCTGCTAAGATGGATATCATTAAATATTCACTCCATCTGTATAAATACTTTTATCTAGACATATTTAGTATTAGAGTCTGTAAGCTTAGTAGATTTCCCATAAGCTGTAAGAGAACTGCCTCACATCCCAAACCTTTGTCTATTTGCTTGTGAAATAATTAACTTTAAAGAACCACTTGTGGGTTGACCTTGGCTGATGTCCACCCTGCTCTCTCAACTCCACCTCAACAGGGATACAAGGGAGACAATGGTAAGATGAAAGAGTAAAGAACCAGTGGGTTGAGATGAAAACAGGGAGCTTTTGTAGTAATTATCAGCACTAGCAAAACAGACTTGACTTGGGGAAAACTAACTTACTGCCAATTAAAACAGGTTTGGATAGTGAGAAACAAAGACAAGATAAACCAACACCCTCCCTCCACACCAGTCCCCTACCCTCCCTCACGCCCACTCTGCCAAGGCTCAGTTTTACTTCTCTAGTTTCTTACTCCTCTAGCCCTTCCCAGCACCCAGCAGCAGCCTCAGGGGATGGGGAATGGAATGGGCAGTCACATCACTCCCTAACAGCTGATGGTCCTGCTGCTCCTTCCTCCTCATGCTTTTCCCCTGCTCCAGCAGGTTCTTCCCATAGGCTCCAGTGTGACCTGGAGCTCTTTCAGGAAACACCAAGGGAGCTCTGGTGTGGCACACACTGGCAGGAAAATGCCTATTTCTTTATCTACTCTGTCAGTCTCAGATTCAGTCAAAGAGAGAAACGGAAAGTTTCTAACCAGGCAGAAGCCTGGGAATCTGTTAGAAAAGAATGTAAATAAGAGGTTTTATCTCCTTATTGTTCACATTGTTTATAGTTAAGTTCTATCACTGTGCGTCAAGCACTCTGCACCAACGGTGTGGGTTCTTTTCACTTCAGAATCAATGGATTTGGCCTGGATGAAGCTCTGTATAAAGAGCGATGCATTTTGAAATACATCAGAGTTTTACTCTCAGCAGCCTTCTGAGCAGAGTCTCTTCATTCCTGTCCTGCCTCAGCAGTGTCAATACTCTACTGTACTCTCCTCCAGGGGCCTGGAGAAACACATCCACTTCTACCTTTTCCTTCAACCTTTGTGCTCCCTGCGCTGTGTCTCACTATCTTTGTTTGTTTCTCTTCTACCTGTGTGTTTAGGGTTTTTAATTCCCTTGCTTAAATATGTTTTCCCACTGTTCTGGCCAAGGGGCTCAGCTTCATCCTGCAGTAAATCCGTGCAGCTGACTTGATCTGTGTCCAGCATGGGGCAGCCCTGGCCTTTCCTCACAGAGGCTGCCCCTAAGGCACCTCACCACCAACACCTACCCAACAACAAAATTCCTCTCCGTCAGAAGATATTCAGTGGCTATAAATGATTGTAAGTACTTACTTTGCTTTCCAGTGTCTTCCTTAAACTCCACTAACTCCTTCTGTCACTTTCCTTCACTTAAGACTCAGAAATCACAACCATGTGAGGATCTCATCCCTGGTATCTCACAGCTGATAGGAGGCAGCCTCATTCCAAGCAAAGGCTATGTGGATCAGCATGTTAGCACCATGAGAGATAGGCAGTAAGGCACTATTCTCTGCTCACCAGCTTCTACCATCACAGACCAAGAAAATCTCAGTGCTCAAGATCACTGTAGCTGTGACTTTTATAGCATCAGAATCAATGTGTTTTCCCCCAAAACTGTAGCCCTGTTTTACACAAGAGAGGACAATGAATTTTTCTGTTATTTTAAATAATATTAATTCAAGATTATTTTTGACATAAGAAAGGCAAAAAAGGAGTATATAACAGCTTTTTAAACTTAATGGCTACTTCAAAGAAAGCACTCACTACAGAAACTAAATTAAAAGTTCTTTTTCAAGATCACACTGTATTATTCAATTGAACTAATGCCTCTCAGAAGAGTCAGAAGTGACAAGAATGCAAATACACATGCAAGAGACAACATGTTTGGTTTTGGGTCTACTCTAAGCATTGATTAGCTTGTTAATAAAGTAAACATTCCAAAAGAGCAAAGGTAAAAAGACAACATTTGCCAATATGCCAAGTTTGTGTGAATTAGAGTATATAGAGACTCATATTCTCAGTTTCAGGTGACCAACATGGGATACTACAAATAACCTTACACTTCAAAAATTAGTATGAACTAACCTTTGTAAAAGTATTTAGGGTTACGTAGTGAAATAAACTATCAAATGCAAGGCCTTTTATCCCTTCTGAAATTTTGACTTAATGTAACATTGAAATACAGAAGACCACCAATGAAATTTGAAGAAAAAATGCAAATTTCAAGACCAAATGTTGATGAAGAAAAACCCCACTTAGACTTCAGCTCAGTCAGAAGTTCATCCAGGCTGCAAAAAACATTTAGGGAAGAAATACGTGGGGGGAGGGGGGGGTGGCAGGAGAAAGAAGACAAAGATTTTTTCTTTTCTACTCCTATCCAATTAATGCCCACATTTTCTAACCTGCCTATTTACAACTGGATTAAAAGCTTCACTGAATACGCACTCCACAGGCATCCTTTAGGTAAGCAAATTTTAACTTTCAGTGCAATACATTTGTAATTTGCTATCTCAACCACCAGGAATCATCTTTTCTACCTTCCCCTTTAACAAAATCTTCCATTGCTACTACATACCTTATACCTACAGCCTCTTCATA